ATTGGCGTAAGTATTTTTATACTGATTGTTATGAAGATGGAAATTATTTTAGTTCAATCTAATTTTTTCTCCACCATATATTAAACTCCAAATCGAAGAGAAGTTATAGTTCATTTTACGGAAATATATAGGCTTCTTTACCAGACAAAAAAGAACAATAAATGTCCAATTTAAATTAAAAAAACAGAATACTTTTCGTTAACTCACAGATTGTTCCCTTTGAGGATTTTAAGTCAGAAATAACGGAAAAACTAAAATATTTTTAGAATATAGAAATATATGGATGTTGTAAAGATGTTAAAAATGAACACTTTATGTAAAGACATTGTTAAATCAACCTATGTTGTAAAGAACTTCATATGCAAATGTTGGCATACTGTAAAGAATATGAACAAACTTCAACTATACAAAGGTTCAGTCAGTAAATTTTATAAACAAACTCCTACTACATAAATGGAAAAATTCTAACTTAATCCAGTCATTCGCTCCATTAACTTTGATTCGATTATATACTTGGAATATTTCCTCCGTCTATCAATAAACTTTGATCATAAATAAACCGTCTGTGTCAATCAATAAAAAAAGATTTCGTTGTTAAAAAAAAAAAAAAAAGAAAAAAGACATTCATAGCATAGCTTATCAAATATTTTTTTAACAATAAATATTTTTTATTTTCTTTTTTAATATAATTTTTATCAAAAAGAAATATAATTTGAATAATTCGATCAAAATTTATTAATATCTTTTATAATTTGTTCAAATTGATGTTTATGTAAATAAAATTGATGCTATGAATTGATTCCATTAATCGTGTTTTCTTGTTCCTTTTTGGTAAAGCTTTTGAATTTTATTAACTCATTAACGTCCTTTATTTTAATGTAATAAGCAGAGTGTTTAGCAATTGCTGTAATTTAACAAGCCATATCATTCATATACCTTTTTTTTTCTTTTTTTTTATGGTGCAAAATTTGCAATGATTAAACAGGATAGCATCTTAGGTGTGATATAATTTATTAAATAATTAATGAAAATCCTATAATGTGTTAGCTAATTGACATTATGCGAAGTATGATCTATTAGTAATTAGCCTAATCACCATTGTATATGTCATTTAGCATTGTGAACTTTTTGCACTATATTCATGATTTGCTATATTTGATAAGCTAATATGCTTAACAAATGTTAAAATAAGAGGGAAATGAATATTTCTGAATTATCAGAAGTAATTTCATCGGATGTTTTTCTAAAAGATATTGCGAAAAATTGCATAAAAGATTTCGAAAATCCATTTCTAGCAATTTTACGAGTGATTCCTTTTTATTTTAAGTAAAAATTTAATGTTTTTTCTCTGATACTAACCAGTGATAGAACAATGAAAAAGTACTGGGAAATGCAAAATTTGCAAAACGAGTAGCGCTACCAGTGGATTGAACGTAACATTGATAAAGTTCGAACACGAAATGAATAATCGAATTGTATATACTGTATATTATTGTTGTAAAATTGAATAAGTACAAATCTGCCAAACCAAATTATAGCTTAAACCATTAATTATTAATATATTAGTAGTAAGATTAGTTAGATTGAATCATTCACACTATCCGGTAAACATTAGCATGTTTCCGGATAATGCATTCTCAGATATATCAAATGTAAGCAAATACGATAACTCTATCATTCCTTCATAAAACCTTTCCCAGTGGTTTTATGGATAAGTCTTAACATTACATTCCGTTTAGTTTTATTAGAGCTTAAATTCAGTAAAGAAATTCTGTACAACTCTCGTACATTACAAAAATGTCACATTTGTAAATGAAGCATCGCCAACTAGGAAAGATTTTTTGCAAACCAACAAATTCTGAAATTTTCTTATCCTCAAATATTGTTAATCATATTCCCACCTATTCTTGGACCTTCCTTACACTGACGAACAATACTATTCACTAAACATTTCTGGTTCCGTAATTTTACAGGAAAGAATTCTTACAAATTTACGGAAAGGATGAATTGCTATGACATGTTACAAGTTTTTTGGCAGTGTTTAACTTTCCTCGTTAATTCTGAAATCGAAGTTAGTACTCCTATCAGATCTATAAAACAGAACCTATTAACTAAAAGAAATATGCTTAAGCTAGAAATAAAATCACATATGCTATGACACATAAGTGACACTTCTGTACTTGTTTAATTACTCGAACATTTCTCTTCCAAAATCCAAAAAAAAAAAAAGTCATTTGTGGACTTGCCTCCAGGATTTATATTTCATATAAATAAGAGGGAAAAATTAACTATTCCCTTAAAAATTTCAGTAATTTCCTACCACATCACATAACATGTAATTTATTTTTATTTCGTTAATTTTTACAATTCTTAGTAATCAAGATCCATTGTTAATCTGTGTTTTGATATTTTTGAACTTGAGCAGTTGGATAGATGGCTGATACTCTGTAAATGTATAGATTTGAAACACAGAAAAAAAGAAATATGTGTCGTGTAAAAAAATATGAATGATAAGTCCTTCGAGGAGCATATTAATAACAATTGACTGAGTTCTTCATTTTTGATTAAACTGATGACACACTGCCTTCTGATACGTCCAAACATGCGAAAACAATAATTAGGAATGAAGAATATCTGTATGTACATAATTAGTTTTGCACATGAAAGTACACGAAGTAACCTTTGAAGCACCGCCGAATATAAAAAAATATATATAAACTGGATAAATTTAACAACAATTAAAGCTTAAAGAACATCAGTTTCCTATTTAACATAAGATTTCTGAAAAAAGAACTGGATCTTGATCACAAATCCTCAAACATCCCTGATATTTCATCTGAGCTAAAGATTTCTAACCTTGAAAGAAAACGGAGAGTGCTTCTAATCATAAAAATCATCTCATAAGGAGATCTTAAACATGGTTCATTAGAAACAAATTAATTTTACGATGAACCAGAGTGTTGCCAAACGTACTACTTAATATTAGTAAGCAATATAATGGATATCTAAGGTTGGAAAAATGAAAAACCAAAGAATGAGCAATCCTCCTCGGCGCATATATCAGGAAAATAACGAGCTTTCAAACTATAAAATGGTAAAAATACAAATCAAATTAATTATCGAATCAAATTTCACAATTAATTCGAACAACAGTAACATGATTTAAAGATTCCTATCAAATTTCTCATAATTAAGAAAAAAGTGAACTGTACAACTTCTGGAAAATTTTGTTTCGATGATGAGAAACGCGTCATATTCCTCTCGAACGCTTATTCTCCTTCGTTTCGAGTAACTAAATGAAAATCTTGATCAGAGTGAAATTATATAAAATTTTAAAATTGCAAAAAAGATCAACAAATTGCCGGTTTAAAACATAGACAATAATAAACAACTTAAACTAGACAATCAGTAAATGAAACGAGTATTAGAATGTACATATATATAAACGATTACAGTAGTAAAATGAGCACATAATCATTGTCGCATATACTACAATGCTAATCAATGAAACGAACACTAGGTTTTGAGAATTCAGTGTAACAAACCAAGCATGTAAGTCAAACTCTCAGATCCTCATTTCCAGTAGGTATAACTCACTTCAACGGATATATCTGTAAAAAGAGCTTTACCACATACCTGCTTTAAAATTACCAGCATGACTGTCATTAATTACTCTGTGTGGAAACATGGAATAGTCATCAATGCTTGACTGTAACTGCTTTAACCTATAAAGAAAACATCCAAGCACTGATTTGAAACTTAAGTAAGCCTTTAGACGAACAAGATCACACAAAATACCATATGTAACTAATTACACAAACCTTTTCAAAAATAGTTTTTTCGCATATGCATATAGCATGATATCCAGTTTATTCTTATCCCTGATTAATTGCATTTGTTGTGGAGTTATTTCGGTATTGTTCGATTTACTTTTGGTCCATTCAGCAAGATTCTTCGTAAACCTGACCAATAATGATTACAAAACAAATTAGAGCTGCTAAATGGATAACTAGTCGTCTGTTTTCCAATGAAGATTGATATTTATGAGACATGGCTATCAAATTTCAGCATCATGTTATGCAAATAACAACAACGTAGGTTTTTTCGTCTATTCAACCCAAAAGCAACGTGCAGTATACTGGAGACAAAACGAAGTCGTTAATTTCACTTTATAAGCGTTCTTGATGAGGTATAATCTCTCAACAGATGCCCTTTACTAGAATTGTTCGAAACAAACTTTAAGCGGAAAAGTTGTTCAAACATCCATTGACTTTCAGCCATATATTCCTTGAGACCAAAAAAGGCCAAATTTTTTAGATTGATTTTTGCACTTTCTAACATAATTTTATCTCTAGTTGCTGCATCCGTTGATCGAGTGTCGTAACAACTGATAAGTGTTAGATCAGCCAACATTCGAGTTTGCCTATAACAAATTAAACATGCACATGACATACACGAAGCTATAATTACACAAATCCACTATTTTCTATTGAGTCCATTCGCTATCCGTGACAAAGCGTATGTTGCAAACAATACCTTCCCATCACCTCATTCTGATTTCTAATCTTGAAATGCATGTTGGCTTGCATGTTTGCATATTAATAAAATACTGATAATCACAATTCTCTGCATCCGCTAATATCAAATGTTTACAACTGCAGAAACTTGTCGTTTAAAAATTAGTATGCCGGTCCGATATACTTTACTAGTGTCTACAAGAGTATCTCAACAATTTCAGGCAGTTCTGGAAGATGGAGGTGCAAACTATTCCTTCTATGGATGCACACATAACATAACAAATTTACCACCACTAATCGTACAAGTGAAGCCTAATCCATTATTTTTTCATTGTTGCAATGAGAATTAATGTTTATGCAAAAAAAAAGTGTCAAACAAACACACCTATTAAACGCAAGATTATACGGGCAAGCAAGAAATTCATCTAATGTCACACCATCCCATCCAATTTCAGGGTCAAAACACATTGGTAATTGTTCGGGCGTAGGTGGTCGACCATTGCATATATGCCTAGCTGCTAACCACGTAGCGCCCCGTTCTACATGACGATATTCCGATATAAAACGTGTTACCGGTTCACGGAAAAACGATGTATAAAAATACCGTCTCTTTCGATGAAAACCTGAAAATTAATATTTTATGAGAAAATTATTGAAACCTTAACAGAAAAAAAAAACTTCTGCATTAGAAATTTCAAAGCTATTACTTTGGTGTACCTTCTTTCTTATCCAGAGCATTATCCACACAACCAGAGACAAACAATTCGGTGAAATCGGCATGTAGTCCACAAACCCAACCGGTAGAATACCGAGAAAATAACCATATCTTGAAGGTATTTTAAATTATGAAATGCATGCAAATTGAAGAAATCAAGAAAAACCAGGAATACTAAATAGATGGTTCGCATTTGCTTACTGTGACTGAAAACGACTCCGCAAAAAAAAACACAAAAAAGATACCTTTTTCTTAGGGCCAGGGCCTACGCAACTGCATCGCTTCTTTCCCATATGACAAATGCATGGTGCTGAAACATTCAGATGCCTGACAAGAAATCGCTCAAAACTTGTGCCTGCTGTCTTTTGAATATGCAAAAATACGATCACATCGTTATCGCTCATATTAAATCTGAAAAATCGCTAGAGATATGGAAGCACAACTGACTACCCACCTATAGATTTGTACAGATTCGGTTTCAATACACAGTAGCAATACGACACTAGAAAGTCTTTAATGTTGATAATTGAACTTCTACTGTTTTGAAGAGATTAAAAATGGTTATGAAAAGGGCGGAAAAAGACAAAAGTACGAAAATACCCATTATCGGGATCATCCAGAATTTTGTTGAACGAAAGATTCCAACGAGTATAAAATGATGGTTTATAATCGGTAGCGATGCTATTTTTGAATGCAAATTCACGCATCTGATCCAGGCTGTATCGTGGGGAACTGATACTTCCTGAGGAGTAGTAACCTGAAGAGTGTACGTTTGGATATAACAAATTGATAAAATATAGTGAGGCAACCATTTCCTTTGGAAGATCGTTTTAAAACCATATTAATAAATAAGTAGAGAAATTGGAAAACATCTCTCTCTGTGAAGTGATATTCCCCAACTTTTTAAATGCTTCAAAAATTAATCTGTTCAAGTGATTATCAAAAATGCAAGATCAACTGTTCAGCCACTTTTCCTAACAATTCCACGATATGCACTGCAACAATGGTTCAAACTCGAAGTCATTATACAGTTTTTTAAAACTACTCACTTAACAGTAGTTGGGGATAGTAAGACACTACATAGCATTAAATAAAGCTTCGGAAGAGAAATTTTTGAAAACAAATTCGAATCCTATAACATACCATAATTCGCAGCGTAATTAAACGACTTCTCGGCAATGAAATAGCCGAGAGGTGTAGCAATCAAGAGAGCGGTAAAAAATATCAGACGTAACCAAGATTGCCGCTTATACTTCATATAAATTTTACCAATTACTGAATTGTCCCCATCATCCATCTCTTCTCCAACAGAAACCTTGTTCGATTGAAAGTCCTCTCTGCATTGCTCGTTATCAAACCGGTCATTTGCATATATTCCCAGTGATAAATCCGTTTTCACCGTACTGTGCAAAAGAAACACAGAAGAGTAATGCTACAATAATAATAATACGTTTCGTATATTCCTAGGCGAAATCCGCGCAAAGATACATGTATAGGCGAAAATGTAAAACTTATTCTAAAGAACGAGAATCAAGCAGTTGAAATAAATTATGTTTGTCGTCTGATTCTTCTGTAGTGAAACATCATTTTATCTTGCAGATTTCGTTTAGCGACAGTCCAACATGACCTTATTCTTCGTTCTCTCTAGTAACTGGTATTTTCTAGGTTTGATTATAACATGAGGTATCCGTAAACGAGATGCTTATTACAAGGATATCGTATCGCTGCAATCCCGGAAAGTGATCCTGACAAGATTCGCACTTAATTTCAGGTGCACCAGTTATGCTCAACAAGAATGTAGCTTATTGGACCCTGGAGATACGAAAAGCATGGAAAACGCGGAGCACCCCTATTTCGCTTCTCGTTCCTGTCATTGTATGGATAAAATTTTTTTAGCATTATCCAATGCAAATGTATTTGAAGCATTTTTGTGCATCGATGTTAACAACCAAATGAGCATAACCATTTTGTAGTTAATAAAAGCTAAGAAGTATAATTATGATAGTATCCATAACAAAACTAACTCACAGTAATAATACAAATGTTTACCGCAACGTCACCTTTGACCCTCATATTAATTGGTTATTAATGTAATTGTAAAAGTGATTAGTGTAAACAAATGCAAGTAATTAATGCAGAAGTTATTGCATAGGAAAGAAGAGTAATTGAAGTTTTAAACAATTTTAGAATATTGCTGCAATGGGCCCTCAGTGAATTCCACATGTTCACTGCTATCTGATGAACTTTTCAACTATGGATTCTTCAAAGCCCTCTGTGTGTGTGTCCGTTTATGACCCCGTCATTTATGATGATAAGCGGGGGACCATCTTATTCCACCCCTATGAATACAATCGTTCTAGAATATTCTACTACGGACGGTCCCTTATTACCATAGCAGCTGCTTCGCGCCAAAACCCTCCCTTCTCGCCCATCCCACTTATTCTCTTTTGTTCTTATCCACCCCTCCACGTGTCCTCCCTCCGTGTTCGTGTCTTTCTCCATGTGGCATGTATGTTATAAATGCATAAGTGTGTGTGTGTGTGTATGTGTGTGCGCATGTGTGTCTGTGGAGTGTATGTGGGCGCATGTATGTATGGTATGCATGTGAATGCACGGGTGTGTATGCGTACGTGTGTGTGTGTGTACGTATGCGTGTATATGTACGTGTGTATACGTGCGTGTGTGAGGTATATGTGCTTGTCTTTTCATGTGCTTTGCAAATTATGTGTATGCCTTTGTTTACACTCGCGTTTCTGTAATCATATATGGTCACGCATACATACGCGTTCATGCGTATATGCACCTATGGCCTGCGAGTCCGTTTACCAGTGTTTGTTATATGTGTGCGCGTCCATGTGTACGTCTGCCTATAATTCCCTTAGAATCATCGAGAATATGGATTTGAGACGGGGTACAGTGAAACGTGTCTCGACTTGTCTGTCTGTCACCTCTTAAAGCCATTGAAATTCACTGCGGAATCAAAATTCATGTAGTGAGCATGAGTGTGCACGTATCAGTCTGTCCATGGCAAGTGTGCGTATCCGTCTGTCTGTACGTCAGCTCGCATCTTGGACTGGTGCAAGTCTGTATCTTTAGTATGTGTGTGTTATGTGTTTGTGAGTTAAATAGCTTTAGTACGTGTTATGTGATGCAGTTTATGGCAGTGGATTATTTATTGTGTGTATGTGTGTTTTGTGTATGTGTGTATGTTGTATGGGTATGTTGTGTATGTGGGTATATGTTATGTGTACGTATGTGTGCATGTATCTGTGCATGTATGTATGTGTGTGTGTGAGAATGTATGTGTGTGAATGTATGTGTGTGTATGTATGTGTGTATATGTATGTGTGTATGTGGCAACAGAGGGTGATAAGTGATGGAGCTGCAGTGTTGGGGCATTGTGCTGTCAGTAATAGAAGTACCTAACGGTGAAGTATCCGCCATCACAGAGACGGACGGACAGACAGATAGATACATGGTTATTGAGGAGTGGAGCAGGAGAAGGAGGGACAGCGGGTGGGTAAGCGATACTGAAAGCGGGTGAAGAGAGAAGGTACAAACGATTTTTGCCTTCCTTTTTGAAGATATGTGTTAGTGGTGTTGCTGCTACTGCTACTGCTGATGGTGATGCTGATGCTGATGCCGTTGGGATTGTCGGGTTGCCTTCGAGCGTAAGGGAAAGGCAGGGGACGAGGGTGGAGGGACTCGTAAGAGGGCTGAGGGAATAGGAATGGACGAGTAGATGAGCTGTGTGCTATGTGCGATTCGTTTCATAGGATGGCATTGTGGTGGTGGCAAGTTATGCCATGCTATGCCATGCCATGCCATTCCGTTCCATTCTATTCTATTCTACTCAATTCAATTCAATTCATTCTATTCTATTCTATTCTATTCTGTTCTATTTCATTTCATTTCATTTCAGATCAGCTATTAACACTCATACTATTACTGTTACTATTAGTGATATTCTAGGATCACCTTAATTCCCATTTCCATTTTCTTCAAGTTTTTTTTCTCTTTCTGTGTTAATTTAATTTTCATTGTGGTTTCTTTGTAGTTTTACATGTTGTTATTGTTATTTTGGAGAGTAAATCTTGGGTCGTATCACGAATATACGCTTTCGATAAATCGAGGGAAAGATGAGTTGAATAAATGGTTAAACTGTGAGAGCTTTTTTCATGAAATAAACCTTATCGTTTTAACAATCGACTTTTAGAATTACGATACAATATACTGTTAGGTGCTAATGTGGACCTCAGTTATGGATCATGTCGTACCAATAAAATTAACCAGACAAGAAACGGTCTTCGTACCGTTTTTTATTTGGTAGTTTTGTTTCTTTCCCGAGGTGTAATACGTATTTTTATGGGTAATAAAAGTGATATACGTCACGACCTTGTATATGTTGTTCTCTGTACGTATCGATTGTTTTTGTGCTGTCCGTGTGCGTTATCACTTGGCTGTAGTATGTCACGATACCTCATCGCGCTCAGTTATCACATCGAACAACTTACAGGGAGGTAGGGGAGTGGGAGGTGAAAAGTTTTGAGTATGAAATATAATTGTGAGTCGGAGAAATCTTTCGTCATATTCGTTGTTACGGATCAATGCCTCGCGATGTTTGTTCTTTTTAGCGGTGTTTCGTGTAATGTTTTATTCGCACTGTTGGTAGAGTAGTATCTGTTGCAGTTTTAACTGGTGTTTCGTTATTGATTACAACTATAATAATCAGAAACAAAATATGGGCAAAGCAACTGTTGATGGAAAGAAACCAAAAGCAGTCAAAAAGATGAAAGATCCGAATGCCCCGAAACGCGCAATGTCGGCTTTCTTTATTTGGATGAACGAGAATCGCGATCGGATCAAGAAGCCTGGTATGAGTGTGGGTGATGTTGCTAAAGCTGCGGGTATCGAATGGGCGGCGATGACAGATAAATCAGTTAGTTTTTATTTTTGTAACGAAAGACCAGCAAGTCATAATGGTGGCGTGTTGGTTAGACATTTTTGAAATAATACACTTAAATGGAGGATATCTAGCAAGTAAAGGCAATACCTGGTTCGTGAGAAGTGTGATGCATTTGTGATGTTACAAGTACTTGTACTGTCTAGTAGATATTCTGGTTTAAACGAACGGATATATAAATGCATCTCATTCGCTAGTTTTGGTAGGATGTGCACGTCTTGCTTATCGCTGTAACACTGATCAAATCTGGAACAATGCCAACGTGTCGTTTGAAGCGAATATTAATGTAATTAGCAACTACTTGCATTAATATGCAAGTCTACAAGGAAATAATTTCTGCCTTCTATTGTTGTCAACGTTTCCACTCTTGCGAAGATGTGCCGCGAATTCTTGCTTTGATGGATTCTGGATATAGTTAATGATTAAAGTGTTTTGTATGACTTATCCTTCATATCTGTCGTTTTTGTATCTACCGTTTTGCACTGCAAGACGATGAATAGTTGTTTTGTACTATCCAACTCGCTTCATCATGAGTAATGAGTAAGGGATGGGGATCTGTTGTTTAGCTTTCAGTATTGCTCCTCAATTATATGACGTTTGACTAACATCATTTTCAAAAACGTGAATTTCAGCAGTGGGAAAAACGAGCGGAAGAAGACAAGAAAAGGTACGAAAGGGAAATAGCTGCATACAAAAACAAGCAATAGGCTCTATCAAGCATCAACAGGGACAACAACAGCAACAAACGAAACTTATCATCTAAGCAGTTCTGGTGTCTTTTATTCCGCTTTCCCATGCTGATGTTATGATGTTCTGTGAAAAGTCATGTAATTAACCGTACCAATATTTTTCGTTCAATTTTGGTCCAGTTTCTATATGGCACTTTCATCCTTTTTTTTGTGATCTCAGGCGAATCGCGCAAAACTCGTGTGCATAATTTGATTTGTTTTGTTGTGTCTCGCAGTGTGTGTGGATGTGTGCGTATGGACATTTTTATCCAGATATATATTTCTCCTCCGGTCCTTATCCCGCTTTCCTTCTCTGTTATATAGATTCTCTCTGTATCCACTAGGATTTGATCACTTTAACTCTGTACGATATGCTTTAACTAAATAAAAAAATTGGAAAAACTGATAGGCAGGACTGCAACAAGTACTGCAATCGACAAAATGTAGCGCATTATGTAGGGGTTGATGCGTGTAGCGTGTGGATGTGTGCGCATGTGCAAGTCTGTATGTCGGTTTTTTGTGCTGTTACTATCACAATTTGAAGAAAATTTTAATTCTTTTTTTGCATGTTCTTTGTATCGGTCGATACGTTTTACCACTTTGAGAACAAATGTCCAGTAAAATGTTTTTTTTTCTTTTTTTTTTGTTATCTCTTGATGGATCCTACTTTGTTTTGAATTGAGCGCTGCATACGATTTGGGCTGGTACTGCAACAACTATAAATTTCTAATTGCAGAACTTTTATATCTGTTCTTAGAAAACTGCATCAGTGCGTTTATGTGTGTGAGTGTATACGTGAGGGATGTATGGAGACTTTCAGTTTCTCGTCACGTGTCCTAAATGCTAGACTGACGTGTCTCGAACTAAACTCTTGGGAGAATACTTAAGGAGCAATTATGTCTGCCATGATCGATGAATATAACGATGAATATCTCACTGCAGAGATGAAAGGATTTGATTGATGTGTAATGCTTTAAACACTGAATTACATCACGTTGTTTCTTGGACGAGAACTTTATCCATGCGTACACGCGGGAACATCAATCTAGGTGGGGTGGACAAAGGTCATAGTTCATCCACAACGGGAGGAGGTTCGCTTGATTCGGTTACCGGGTCATTAATGTGACCATTTGCTGTATTTAATTTCGATAAATGGGAAGCAATGTCAGGTGTGGCATTCATTGTCTATCATTGTTTGTGTGCATTGCTGTTGATTTTCGCTGAGGCGGTTGATTGTGCATTGGTTCACCAGCTGTTGAAGAAGTGATTGAATCCCTAAATTGCATGATGTATTTATAGTTGCCAGGCATATCATATGAATTAAGAGATGTCTTAATTTAACAACAAGCTTAGTTTAGGCTTAATGTGACCAAATATCGAATTTAATCATAAACAGATTCGCCAGGTATTGTAAGATTAATTTTGTGAAATTCGGTTGGTAAACATTTTGTCTCTTTCAAAATTTTAAAGTGTGGAAATTCAGTGAGACATTTTACATTCAAACATATCAAAGTTTCTGCCAAGCAAACATAATGAATGACAGTTTAAGCCGAATATTATCAGAAAGAAAAAAGAATTAAAATTGCAGTCCTTTAATTTTTTTTTTTCTTTTGTTTTGTCCCAGTCATTTCACATTTTTGTTGACCTTTCAAAGTTTAAGGATGCTATCTGAGTAATTTTCTACTAAACATAATATTTCAATTATAACATTCATTTCATTCCAGTAATTGGTTTAATAAAGTAAATTTTCCATTTCGTATATGAGTGAGAAGAAATATTCGGAGAAGGAAGATGATCTCAGTCAAAGTTCTCAAATTGTTGCCGCTATCGATACTTTTATTGCATCTGATTATCTTGTAATCATATTAATATGCTTCCATATTTATCATTTATTGATGATGAGAAAAAGAACAAAGGAACAATATTATTTTTCTGAATTTAATTAAAGAGACTAAAAAAAAAAAAAGAAAGAGAAGTATAATTTCTCGTGTATATTAATAATTTTAGCTAATTATTGATAATAATTCATTAAAGATATACAGTTCTCCCTTTTCTTCTCTTTTCTTTGTCTCTCCTTTTTACTTTTCCTATTTGATCCTTATCTTTTATTGTTATCTTTCATCTTAATCATGAATGATAATTTGCATCTCGATTAATTTAAATTTTAGTAAATTCATAAAAAGGAAAAGAAGTGAAAAAAAAAGATAAATTAAAACTTATATATTACTAGATGGATAAGTCATTTGAAATAACAATTGTATCGTTTTATCATTTATAGACATACATACACATACACATACATATACATACACATACGCGTACACATACACGTACACGTACTCATAAGCGTATAGATACACAACTCATAAACGTACACACACACACGCCCCGCACACACACACACACACACACACACACACACACACACACACACACACACAACACACA